ACACACGCGGCTGGCAGAGTTAACGATGGTTTCTGTTCCTGCAGGCTGGGAACTGTGCTGTGTGCCACTTTAATCTTCACCACAACTTTGCCTGGTAGAATTTATTATGGTATATTGTCAGTGAGGAAACTGAAATGGTGAGAGTAGAGAGCTAAGGCTGTTGGAGTATATAGTACATAACAGAGGACTGGAGTTAGCGATATTGTTACAGCTGCCCTAAATCAAGGACACCAAGGAGTCTTTAAGGAAAACTTCAGATAATGCCTTTTAAACTGACCCAATGTGAAGTGCAAAGGCAAAAAAAAATTTGAGAGCAAATGTGGCTGTGGAGCCAAGCCAGGGGGACTTTGTCACATAATGAGATTTGGTGTTGGAAGGCTAGCTCAAGCTAACAAATTTCACCAAATGGGTCCCTTAGAATTGGTCTTAATTCTTTTAGAATTTAGAATTGGTCAGGTGGTTAGAAAATAGTACATCTGAAACTCAAGGAGGAGCTGACCAGAGAGAGACATTGGTCTGAGAACCATTTGCACATCACCTGGCAGGCAGTCTGTGAAAGCGTCCACTACCATTGAAGACTTCGGAGTATGCTAATGAAGGGAAATTTTAGGGTAGATTCTGGAAAGGATTCTAGAAGCATATTTAGCATAGGGGAGGTTGAAGAAGAGATAAATTAGAGGCTGACGAGGATGCTGTGTTCGGTGGGTTCATGATTTAAAAATTATACGTTAATTTCATCAGCCTATTGAAAGGTCCCAGAGGGTAAGAAAAATTAACTGGATACAGATTCTTTCTCAGTGACCTTCCCCTTCCCAGAAGGGTGTGACAAATATGTATGTAATTATAACTCAAGTCAGAAAGTGAGGCGTGCCCTAAGAGAGGTCTGCACAGATTGCCGTGGGGGTTCTGCCCGTGGAAGGGGAGTCGGAGCTTTGTGGAGCAAGCAGCATTTAAATATTTGGAGGATGGGAAGCATATGAGAGAGAGGTGAGTAACAGGACAAGCTGAAGGATTAGGGCCATGAGAGGAAGTCCCGAGCAGCCCTCATGCACTTGCTCTTGGGAGCAGAGGAGCAGAATGTCTGTCTTATGGTCCAGGCAGCACCAGTTGCTTCCAGGAGTATAATTACTTATGTCTGGTCTGAGTTAGGTCTTGTAATAGGGGATACGATTTGTATGTTTTAATGTGAATTTTGAAGGCATTGAATCCTCGTAGACTTTCTAGGAGCCCTAATGGGCTGTTGTGGGCATCAAGTCCATTAATTTCTGTGAAGTGCTTAGAACAGTGCCTGGTACAAGTGTTGTGTTTCTAGTTACATTGGTGATCTCATGATCTAGTTTGTGGGTTGTTCACGTCCCTTCTGCTTACTGCTTTTTGGTTCTCTTGAACTCTGCCAGCAACTGAGAGGGGTGAGAACTAAATTTTAATTATTTGTTAAGTCAGATTCCAAAAAAAAATTTGAGGAAGGACTAAGTTTTAAAGTATCTGGAGAGTTCATAGAGAATCTTGTGGGACCCATAGGCAGTGATCAAAAGCAAAGCAGAGGAAAGTGGTGCTAAAACCTAAGCGATGGAACTTGCTCTGCATTCGAAGCTGCCTCGCCCTTTGAAAGTCTAAGTGACAGGAAGGTGGTGCCAACTTTCAGTTCTGCCATTCTGCTGCTTGTGGTGGACTTGACTTAGCTATAGAAGCGGAGTACTAGAAAACTCAAACTATAAAAGGCCTTGTAGGGCTTGCTCCCCCGTCACAGTGGTGACAGAATACATCCCTGTCACCCCCAGCTCCATGCTTGTGGAGCTAACTGATGTGTGTATGTTTTTCTTTTTTAGTCCCCTACCATGTACATAGAGTGACAAGCTTCTCATTTTACATCATCAGAGGTATTTTGGTTAAGGTGCATCTCAAGAAGCGTGACATCTACATGTAAGCCAGGGCAGCTCAGGTAACAACACCCACCCAGTGTTGAGGATAGGATGCAAGATGTCTTCTCCCCCTCTAAATTTGATGTTTTTGTAGATTATTGATTCTAGGGGAACTGTTAGCTTCATTATTTCATTATTTTAAACAAATGTAAATTGTGGTCAGAACTCTTAGTTTAGTTAGAATGTATTTCGTTAGCTGTCCTCTATTGAGGCCTTCCTTGCTGGGTACCAGGCACCAGGGTTAGATGCTTCTTTATGACATTATTTTATTTAATCATCGCAACCACCCTTGAGACTTGCTGCTGTCCCTGTTTTAGAGGAGGAATCTGAACTTGGAGAAGTCGGGTAACTTGCTCAAAGTCATACTGCAAGTGGTTGAGCCCGAGATCCGGACCCTGGTCTGACTCCAGAGTCCATGACCTGAACTGTGCTGACTTCATGCCTACCCTCTTGTAGTGTAAAAAAAATAGGTATGAAGATACCAGGAAGTGAGTGGGCTCAAACCTAAGGATTGTGGGGAAGGGAGAACTCAGCTTTTGACCATGGGATTAGCCTTTAAGTGTCGATATTTCCTTCAAAATAGGTTTAAGAATAAAAATTTGAACATGCAGACCTAAAGTGCTTTCAAGCAGTCCTGGTCATTCTTTGCAGTAGTTCTTTATAGCTCTCCTGAATCTAACGCTCCAGCTTGAGCACAGCTGTAATGGATTTATATTCTGCCTTATTTGCAAATGAATTTAAGGCAGCTTACAAAAATATATACAATATCAGTGGAGGCGTTGTGAATTGAGGGACGTGGTAGGAGGAATATAGTGAAGCCAGAGCTGAGGGCATGAAATGCATACCATTTATTTTTAGAAAAGTGGTCCTCAGGTTTGTCTAAGCCAGGGCAGAAGAACCACAACTCTTACAAGTTCTCTGAGAATGGAGATAAAGTATTCTGGTGGATCCACAATGCCTTTAATAGCAAGTAGTGTGTACTGGAATTTGCAGCTTTTAATAGTCAGGCTGGTTATCTATAGACATCTGCCTAACAAGCATCTGAGCTGGGAATATGGCTAGTGTGCTTTCTCAAAGTTGAAAGACCTAAGATAGTTGTCCTGATTACTTCCTAAACTGAGGCAAGACAACACAGTGCCAGGAGGTACCTGAAAAAGAGCAGGATGGTTGTCTTACAGCGTGTATATCTTCAGCCTCTCAATTCTGAGTGGCAATGAACTTGAGTTGCACTTTCCTTCTATTACATGTCTCCAGATAGCCTTTTGGTTAAATACAGATCCATCTGCTCTTCCAGGCAGCCGCCCTGGGCTGAGGTCAGTTTGTTCTCTTAAGTTGGGATAGGGGAAAATACTAGTTCCTTGGTTTTATGTGTGTGTAGGAAGATGCTGTAAACACTGTGTGTTTGTTAAATGAGTGCAAGTGGTGCCTTCAGAATATTCAGATGAAAATGTTTAATAGACAGTTGTAAAAGAGGATCTAGAGCCTAGGTAATAGTAGGAGAGGTTTATAAGTCTTTAGGTTTCTAAAACAAAAGCTCTTGAGAGTCAGGAGATGTGGGTTTTAATCTAGGATCTGCCATGATACTGTCATGGGCTAGTCACTCCCGGGATTAGCAGTCTTTATTTGTAAAATAAGACTAGACTTGATTCAGCAGGCCTCTTCCAACTCTGAAAATCCATTCTAAAAAAGAAAAAACATTCTCTCAAAATTTGCTGTGCTGGTCTGTGTGTAAAAAAAAAAAGACCCTTTAGTAATGGTTTGGAGTATATGATGTCATGAAAGTACTGCTGGATCCTGTATACTAGTATCCTTTTTTACTCTCCAAATCAGTGATTTACTGTATGGAGGATTAGAAAAGGACCAAATGCAGTTTCCCTGGATAAATCGTGGAATTCACCCTCCACCCCAGTGTCCTTAAAGGAGCCCTGTTTTTGGCAGATGTCACTTTAGGTCTGTCAAGATGGAAGTTATGTGACAGACTCAGTGGACTTGAGCTTGGGTCCGTGTTGGGTTTTTTTTCTTTGTCCTAAAGCCACCTGTTTGGTAATGCTGGCAAACTTCAAACTGACAGTCAGTGAACAAGGTGTCAGAGGCTCTGTTGAGAGCCAGGGAGCTTGTAGGGGCGAGTACAGCCTGCCTCCTTGGGTTATGCTGCCCCATAGTGGTAGCTGCGTTTTGTTCATATGTTGCATTTGAATATTATCCTGCTTTGTAATGAGTTTTAAATAATGGTTAATCCACCTTCATCCCCACCCCTTTTCCTGGAAAAGGTAGATAAGGCCTGTATTTGTTTCCTGAGGTTGCTGTAACAAATTACCATGAACTTGGTGGCTTAAAACAACATTTATCCTTTCATAGTTTGGACGTCAGAGCCTGAAATGAAGATATCAGGAAGGCTGTACTCCTGGGGGCTCTGGGGTAATATCTGCATCTCTTCCACATTCTGGTGGCTACTCACATTCCTTAGGGGCGCAGCACTCCAGTTTCTGCCTCTGTGTTGACATTGCCTCTCTTACCTCTCTGAGTCACTTATCAGGACACTTATCATGGTATTTAGGGCCTACCTATATCCAGATGATCTCAAGATCCTTAATTAGATCTGCAAAGACCGTTTTTCTTAATTAGGTCATTTTCATCCATTCCAGGGATTTGATGTGGATATATTTTGTGAAGAACTACCATTCAACTTACTACAGATAGTTAATGCCTTTTCTCCATTCTCTCTGAATCTTTAAATCCCCACTGCTGGTAACCCTGTTCTATGTGAACCAGAGTTCCTTCCTTCTAGGTGGTGGCTTGTGTGGAGGTAGCTTGCACCAAGGTCTGCAAAGAGTGCTGCTCAGTTACAGGGTAGCTTCCTTGGTTGTGTCCAGTGTTGACCATATTATTTTCAAATAGCCATTTAGTTATATTAATTGTAGCAAAGATTTTGAATAATGTTAATGTTGGTAAAAAATGTAAAACTTGACAGCTTAAATACTAAATTGCACTAGCCCAGGAATTCAAGTTCTTAGCTGTAACATTTCATTTGCAAAATGTGGAAAATAAAATTTTAGTGAAATAAATTCCTGTTTTAAGGCTATTTTTTAATTGCTGCTCTTCATTTCTCTGCAGGTCTTTTAGATAACCCTGAGCTTCGTGTGGTCCTTGTTTTTGGCTATAACTGCTGTAAGGTGGGAGCCAGTAATTATCTACAGCGAGTAGTCAGCACTTTTAGTGATATGAACGTCATCTTGGCTGGAGGCCAGGTGGATAACCTGGCATCACTGACCTCGGAAAAGTATGTCTCACGTGCTTCTGATTTCTTTGGTGCATGTTGGGAAATGATGTTCTGTTTTTGTTATCTTGAGTTTTTTACAAACATACTTAAAGAATTGCTAAGCTACAGTTCATTCTGTTTTGTGTTTGACTGACAGGCATTGAGAGGCTTACTCAGCAATTCTACTTACAAAGTTGAAGAATAAAATTTTTATATATTGTCCTTTAAGAACTTATTCTTAGTTGGACTCATACTTTTGAAAATTTTCCACATTGTCTGATAGCTCCCTTGACAGCTCTGTATTCTGCATAACCACAACCTGTCACTTCTTTCTAGTTTTATTTCCTCCTCTAAAGGATGTCATGGTTAAACAGCAAAGCTGTGTGGTGCAACTTCTGAGCCTCTAATAAGCTCAGTCTCTAAGAGGTGGAATTATATTAGCTGGAGCAGTTCTATTTGGCCATAAAACCATGTTTTTGTGGAGTATTTTACAAGCCTACTGGTAATACGTAGCACACATCTTTGGAAATTCTGTACTATAGATCTTTTAAAAGACTTTTTCTGCTTCAAAAATTGTGTCTTTGATTCTGTTACTAAAGCTTTTGTCTTCAAAGACAAAAAGTACTTGCTCTTCTATCTTGGGAGTCGTTACTCCCTTTCTACTTTGAATGAAAGTATGCAGTATTTTGAGTTTGAACTACCAAAGTGGACCTAAATATCAACTGTTACCAAAAGCAGGAAAGGAGAACCCTCCTATCCCCCAAAAGTCTCTTGCAAACACAAGTACTTGTTTCTTGCAAATCTGTATTATTCGGATCCTTGTGTGCCGACCTGGAGACAGATGGTCAGAGATCAGCATCCTTAAGGGCAGTGTGAATCATCCCAGCTGTAATCGCCCTCCTGCTGGTCTCCATTGATGGATGAGGGAAAGCAAATAGCTAAGTCCCCGGACTGCCAGGGAAGAAGGAGGAAAGCCAAGCGCACTGAATTCCAAGCAGTGGGATGCCAGACATTGGAGCTCATGCGTCAGTGCTCCTGATTCTCCACAGCCATCTGTGAATTATTTCCTCTCTTGCCTAATTTTTCCAGCATCTTTGCTTTTACCTTTAACATACAGATAGGACAAAGGTGATTTAACATACAGTTTGCTTTGAAATGCCAATATCTTGCTCAGACATATACCTGAGGTATTAGCCTATTATCATCTACTGTTCATCATCTACTTTCTATTCCCAATGTGGGAAATAAACCCTCAAAAATTATTATCCCTTAACACGACACATTAATTTTTTTAAATTAAGGTATCATTGATACACAATCTTATGAAGGTTTCACGTGAGTAACACTGTGGTTACTATATTCACGCATATTATCAAATCCCCCCCATACCCCATTGCAGTCACCTTCCATCAGCATAGTAAGATCCTGCAGTCATTACTTGTCTTCTCTGTGCCATACTGCCTTCCCCGTGACCCCCTACATTATGTGTGCTGATCGTCATGCCCCTTAATCCCCTTCTCCCTCCCTCCCCACCCACTCTCCCCACCTCTTCCCTTTGGTAACCACTAGTCCCTTCTTGGAGTCTGTGAGTCTGCGGCTGTTTTGTTCCTTCACTTTTGCTTCATTTGTATACCCCACAAATGAGGGAAATCATTTGGTACTTGTCTTTCTCTGCCTGGCTTATTTCACTGAGCATGATACTCTCCAGCTCCATCCATGTATGACACATTAATTTAAATGTGGCCTTCATATTGTGGTGTTGGGTAAGAACAGCTGAGTAAATCAATGCTCCATTTTAATGATGTCCAGATATGTCCCCCTCCCCCCAAATATAGGTAAGTAATTGTTTGAGGCAAGGGATTGACAACACATGTTGCAACTGTATAGGAAGAGATAATGTAGCAGTGCTACAGGAGCAGCAGCCCTTCTTCAGAAGATGGATCCTGCCGCTCAAAAACTGGTTTTGGCACTCGGTATAGCTGCTAGCCTTAGCATTCTAGGCACTTAACCTTTTTGAGTCTTATTTCTCATTAGCCCCGATAGACTCAGATGTTGGTAAATATGATTGATAGAAATGCAAGGTACTTGTTGTTTCCCCGGTGTTCACTATATTATGCTTTATAACTTAGTTGACACTTTATTTGTATTTTCTATAGTAAATATTTCATTTTAAAAAAATGCAGGCAAATACAAAAAGAAATGTGTTTTTACCTTCAGATGGATCTGAAGTCTAGACTCAAAGCATTAAACAAGACACACAAATGTGTAGGCACACCTCAGAGGTACTGCCAGTTTGGTTCCAGACCACCACAATAAAGCAAACGGCACAATAAAGGAGTTCAGTGACTATTTTTGTTTTCCAGTGCCTATAAAAGTTATATTTATATCTGTAGTCTACTAAGTGGTGTATAATAGCATTATGTCTTAAAAAATGCATATGCCTTAAAAATATTTTATTGCTAAAAAATGCTCATCATCATCTGAGCTTTCAGTGAGTTGTAGTCACTGGTCACCATAACAAATATAATAATAGTGAAAAATGCTTGACATATTTCAGGGATTAAAATGATCAAATGTTGGAAAAATGATGGCAATAAACTTGCTCAGTGCAGGGTTGCCACAGACTTCAATTTGAAACAAAACAACACAAAAAACACAGTATCTGTGAAGCTTAATAAAATGAGGTATGCCTGCAATTGTATTTCTTTGTGGACCAAACAATATAAAGCTAAAACTCCTGGAGTTACAGGTTCTTAATAAAATTATCCTCCATGACTGAACATTTAATACACCTCTTTTAGAATCTGACATTTGATATAGGGTGAAAATAGACAAAAGCTTCATTTAACAGGTATCACTGTGCATATGAATAAAATTGTAAGGTTCCTTTTAAAGAAGAAAGGTAAGGGTACTCTTCTCAATGCCTTTCTAAAAACCCAGGATGGGTTTTGGAAATCTTTGTGGAGGTGCATTTGCCCCTTTGTATTTCAGTTGCCTGCTCTCCAGAGATCTGCCTTCTGCATTCCTTTAATATATTAGTTTCATAGTTTAATTTTTATTCCTTATTATATTCCTCATATCCAGGAAGGTGAGTCTCAGACTAACTGGGCTGCTGCAGGCAGTAGCTCCCAACCAGTGAGTCAAGAGGACTTTTCTTTCCTTTTACGCTTTAAAACGTTTTATTTCATGATGTATTACCACTCTTCTAATTTCCCAGGAACCCTCTGGATGTTGATGCCACTGGAGTGGTTGGGCTGTCGTTCAGTGGACCCCGAATCCAGAGTGCCACGGTGCTTCTCAGTGAGGACGTCAGCGATGAGAAGGCGGCGGAGGCCGCGGTGCAGCGCCTCAAAGCCGCAGGCATTCCTGAACGGGACACTGTCGGTTTCATGTTCGCGTGTGTGGGTAGGGGCTTCCAGTACTACAGAGCTAAGGGGAATGTTGAGGCTGATGCGTTTAGGAAGTTTTTTCCTAGTGTTCCTTTGTTTGGCTTCTTTGGAAATGGAGAAATTGGATGTGATCGTATAGTCACTGGGAACTTTATTCTGAGGAAATGTAATGAGGTGAAGGATGCTGATCTGTTTCACAGCTATACAACAATTATGGCGCTGATCCACCTGGGCTCAGCTAGATAAAGCCCCCTATAAAGGGGCTTTCACATTATGTGACTTTTGGGCTCTGCCTTTTCCAGAAAGTGGAAACCTGGGAAATGTATATTTCAAACAAAAATAACTTTATAGGTACCTGTTTTTAGCTTTGATGCTCTAAAGATTACACTGGGGGTAGTTTTTAAGTATTCGATGGACAACTTTGTACATAACAGTGCAGACCAAGAGTTGAGAGCTTTTGTATCAGGCACAAGTAAACTGATTATGGCTATATTGCACCAGATTATGTAGCTGCTGTGAAATGTGACTTTAAATGGTCCTCTGCTGAGGGAGACTGAAAGAGGGCTCAGCAGGGTGAAGACGGAAGGCGCCCCATGACTACCTCTGCATTGTTAGATCTTTTAGCAGAATCGTGATGACATTTTTCTCTCCTAAAGAAGGAGAAAAATACACAGATGGCTTGAGAAATCTTTCTGCTTTACAATTTTACCAGTTTTTCCAGAAGCTGTAACAAAATACTTTTTACTTATTTGATAAAAATTAAAGAACTATTTTTCTTTTAGTATTCTAAAGTTGTTTAGTCTAATAAATTCCCCAGATTAACAGTATTTTATTACTTCTTAAGGAAAAAAATCTGCCTTTTCCCTTAATTAAGAAATTGTAAGAGAAAATCCTTTTTCGTTCACCTACTGGTATGTAGCTGATTAGCAGGCCAGACAATTATATCACCTTATTTCAGTTTTATACCAAGAAAATGTACCCTGGAAACTCATTCAGGTAGTATTTGTATTTCATTGCTTTTGGTAAGTGACTAAAGGAAGTAAACTAATCATGTGTAAAAGAAAACCCAGAATAGGGGGTATTTGTCAGCCAGTAAATAAGGTTTGAATTCCTCATTATGCAAATATCTAAATGAGATGTGCAGAGAACACCGATTTTCCCCCAATATCTATTCTTTCCATTTCACATAGTGATAGAAGTTTTGGTTTTTAGCTCAATGCATACCTTCCCGGTCTCCCTTGCATGAATGAATGTTCTGGTCAAGAAATGTGAAGTGTCCTTGATAATAGTGTGCCTGTTTTTTTGCCTGTTCTTAGTCCTTTTGCTTGGAAGTGGATCTGGTAGTTTGTCATCTTAGACTCTACAGAAGGGACAATACTCAGTTGTGGAAGAGACCACACAAAATGATCCTGGGTCATTGTACAATTTTGTTGAAGTGCTACCATAACTGTTGTGGACTGCCTACCTCCACACTGGTTTACAGACAGAAATTTAACATCATTCTTCCCTTAGTCACTTTTTTTTCCAGGTCTTCGTTAAAGGATGTCTTTATATTACCATATTCTGCCTAATACAGTATAACTAATGGATGACACTTGTGTAATGGCCACTTAACAGGCAGTAGAATACTTGCAAGTAATCAAATATATTGTCATTCCTACTTTTTTAAATCACTTTTCTCCCAATTTTTACCTCAAAAGATTTTTCTCTTAATGTTTTATAAATGATAAAAATACTTTAAATTTTCCTTTATATTATGATTATTCTAAATATTTGTTCCTGAAGAAAGTCCAGAGAAGAGTTTGTCATAGAACTTTTAAAATGTGAATATTAATATTTAGCCATTAAGGTATTATTTGACACTGGTACTCATTATCAAGTAGACAACACCTCAAAATTTAAGTTCTTAGATATGCTTACATAGCACACAGGAACATACTTTGTAAATTTTCTTTGTCCCTGATATTAAGCAGACTTGGCTGAAGAGAAGAAAAAACTATTTTAAAAACTGAAAAGAACAAATGAGTCTAAGGATTGAATGCATTTAATTTTTCAAATTAATACTCATATAAAATGTTATTTCCCAAAGGAGTCTACTGCAGGTCATCTCAATACAATATTTGATGTTAATGTAGGATTCCTTTTTATAGCTGAGCCTTTGGGGCTTGTTACGAACAATATATTCGTTTTGCCACAAGGTTGTAACCTTGGTGCAGAACAGAAAGGGGGAAAAGTTGACCCACTAAAAAATAAGGCTAGTACTGATGAAGACAAAAGTCATCCACCCTTCCTTTCAGAGGCCTTGAAGTTTAATAGTAATGTAACCAAAGTTAGAATGGAATAATTTATTACAATTTTGAACAGCTTAACTTAAAAGCAAGCATTAAAGGAATAATGACTGTTTTAGCTTAAAACATACCAAATTCTTAGAAATGGCAACCACTGTAGTTATTTGTGAAATTGGAAAATGATTACACATGGAGAAATTGATGTGAGCAGAAAGGAGATGTGCCTTTAATGTCTTCACACTCAACTGCCTTCTCTCAAGTGATGATCAGATTGATAGGATGGTTTATTTAATCCAGACATTTAAAAATACTAATTTCCTTAACATGCTTTCCAAGCAAAATCTGGCTGCAGCTGCAGTTTGCTTTGTAAAAAGGCTGCTTCAAGGAATATATTTCCATTTCCTTTCATCCAAGTGGAACTGAACTTCTTACAAACCAAGCAGCAATCTAAGGAAGAGGAGGGAAGGTGGGTCTTGGGTTGAGACTTAGAAACACACGTCCTGCTGCTGACAGAATCGATGGTCTGTGACCTGAACTAGTGAGGGGGGTCTGGTAGGCCACTCCACTATTTCAATTCTCTCAGCTTTGCTTAAACCTGGATTTTTGGCAAACATACCACCTTTTTCACCTACTGAGACCAGATAGCAAAAAATTTGCCACTGGTTTATATTGCAAATTTAACACAATGAACATGCAAATAATTTTAAAAACTTTTAAAAATCTGAGAATTTTCTCTGCATTCTGCAGAAATTTGAGAATAAATAAGTCACTGCTGTCTTGTGTGTCTACACAGTATAACCGAGGTTAGCACTACCATAAGTTCAATTTTAATGGAAAGAGAAGACTGTAAATCATCGTGATTGGAAATTGTGAGATCTTTAGGTGACTGACTTGATTTTCATTTGTAGAAACTGAGCATGTGTCTGCTTAGTGAAAATCCTAAAATAACAAAAACAGCATTAGTAATAAAGTCCTTGTTAAATTAACAAAATACATAGCCTATGTAAAGAATGTGTTACCAAAAAGTAATTTAATACTGGCCTTGTATAGAGAAGTCACATATTTGCAAGACATGTTATTTTTGTTTTATGTATTTCATTTCTGCCCTATACCACAACTTAGGTAACTATATGTGCCTATAAAGTAGAAAACATTCACAGAAGCCAACAAACTTCATTTCATGTTTTGGTACTAAGAGTATGTGGGGGATTTTCAGTTTATAAGCAGTTTGTGTAAAAATTATTGTTCCTTAGTGACTGTCATCACAGCCAGTAAAGGCAAGATTGAGAATTAGAAGAAATGAGAATATATATTCATTAGCTTGAATCTTAAATACAAATGAGCAGAACAAGGAGAATTTTGAGACCATTTTCTTAATAGCTGCACAATATTTCGAAGTCTGACCAAAACTCAGTCACCATACGTGTATCTGAAACCCACTCTTTCAAGATCTTGTCGTAATACTAGAATTACAGACAGGAATAAAACACAGCTGACCTGTGTGACCCCAGCAGTATGGTGGGCTAGGACACTCTAAGCTCATGTCCCCCCCAAAACATGGAAGGGAGGAGAAGCAACGGTATGAACCAGCGTTACTGAAGCGCTGGAAAACAGTCAAAGATTTCCAGCAACCAAGAGCGTGCCCAGAATAGAAAAACCATCTTCAAAGTGGTATGAAAGTTTTGTGATGTTTTTACTTGCCCTTGCCCAGCGCTGGCAGCGGCAGGCTTATTCTTAAAAGTGGCAGAAGCTTACCCCCCTATACAGAATTTTATTGTTGTTAACAACCATTTGATCAATAAATATGAGAGATGCCCTCTCAAAAA